GTGCATGTGCACACATGCATGCTTGTTTGTGTGTCTGTAGTAGAGACCTACTCCTCCTCTGACAGCCAATCACCATGTGCACCAAACTAACTCCTGCAGTACTTACAATGTTTGACAGAAGTGAGTACAGCCCTGTGCAATATCACTTAAATATCAAATGATTCAACATCACCTCACAATAGCTGCATTATTTCTAAGGTGAACATTAGGATATTCACTCTGAGTCAAATTAAACACAAACAGTTTGGATATACTGAAAATATTTGCTCCACACTATGAATGCAACCAAAGCCAGGTCAGTACTGGACTAAGATCACTGAGATTCTTTTTTTCTCTCTGAATTTCATTTGTCCCCCTTTGTTTTTGATGACAGACTCAGTCCTCCTCGGCATGGAGGATAGTCCTGGCCAGGTTCATGTCAAACATGCCTGACAAATTTACCATGTTGTCATCTGACTTAAGAATATGCTCCCGATATTCATCAGGCTTCTTTTCATTTGTCTTTGCAACTTTAATATTGAAGTTTAATCCCAGAGAGCAAGCGTTTTTCAGAATTCTGTTTCTCTGTTTTCTGTTCTTCTGGCTGCTGCTGCAACTGTGCTTTCACTGATGTAGTTAGTTTTAGTTGATTACCAACGTTCATGTATTCTTCACCATCTTTGTGATGCCTCACAGTCAGATTTTTCAGTTCCTCTGGTAATTCCTTTCAACGTGGAGCCATGATGCAGACATACAGATGGATGCAGACCATGGTTTCAAAACTGGGAACATTTTAGTTTTCACCGCTCATTTTATAACCGTGTTCATGTAATGGGACCAAATGAAATCACAGCTGTACACACTTATGTGTCAGTAATCATAGATGTATTCACTGGTGTTGTCTTGAGTTACTGCTTTGGAGCCTGTATCTTCTATATAGTCTTTCTAAAGTATTGTCCACGAGAGGAATTACTCTCTGTTTAACTTAGAAAATAAATGAATGAAATGATGGAAATTTTGAAAGGTGATACAGCCTGAAATCATTTGACACTGTAGTGTTTTTAATAACAATAATTATACTTTTTTTGTCCAGAGGTTTTGCCACTTTGGCAGTGGATAGTGATATCTGTGAACAAGTAACATTTGCTGCGTTTGTGGGTCACTGAGCAGAGCCTTTCATGATAGCTTGCAGGCGGCGTAACTACTTAGGTATAGAGCAGCAGAGCGGTACACAGTCAGAATGAACGAGCCTGTGACCCTGAACTCAGGGCAGAAGTGCAGCAAAAGTCATATATAACAAGACAACCAGGTGTGAGGCCCGTTGGACTTGTAACTGGTGATTTGTCTGCATTTCCAGAACTTGGAGCCAAATACTTAGACTTTTCATTGATTAATATGTTTGTACACATTAGCAAATCTTTTTACACACAAACAAATGTCACTACGGACACAGATTGAGATACAGATACAAATAATTTTGCTATCAGTTCCCTGCACATTGCCTGCATTCCCAGCATCCTGCATTGCCCTGTATCCCGTCTGCACGTGAAACCTATGTGGTGCTCATGAAATAAGTATCTTGTGAGCACGAGAAACTTGGCGTCTTTCTTTTTTCCGACATGTCCCTTTAGGGGCTCCGTAGAATAGACAGAAACTTTGCCAAATAGAAACATGAATTCTTTCAGTTAGGGATTGCAAATAATAATCAAACTAAAGTTAATTTTCTCAAGTAACCTAAAATGAGGGGCTGCAGGGCGGCGCAGTTGGTAGCACTGTTGCCTCGCAGCAAGAAGGTTGCCAGTGGGGGCACCGGAATCTTTCTGCGTGGAGTTTGCATGTTCTCCCCGTGCAGCGTGGGTTCTCTCCGGGTTGTCCGGCTTCCTCCCACAAGGTCCAAAAACATGTTGAGGTTAATTGGTGATTCTAGATTGTCCGTAGGTGTGAATGTGAATGATTGGTTGTCTGTCTCTAAGTGTGGCCCTGCGATAGACTGGCGACTTGTTCAGGGGGTCCCCTGCCTTCGCCCTGAGTCAGCTGGGATAGGCTCCAGCCCCCCCACGACCCTAGTGAGGATTAAGCGGTGTATAGATAATGGATGGATGGAACCTAAAATGAATCATAAAGCTCAGAGTTTGTCACTAGATGCTGCATACAAATCCTCTGAACATTACATAAAGGTAGATGCAGAGTGCAGTATCTACATTTTTTATGTGTGAGTTTTAAGGCAATGGCTGTTTTAGTTGGAGTGAACAAAAGAATAAACTTTTCTATGTCTTCATTTTTGTAAACACTTAGCAACACCTGTGAGCATTTCCAAATAAGACAAATGAGAGTTTGTTTTATTTCTGAACTAAATGGTTAACTTCAGTGTACTTACATAGCAAATGTCTGTGTAATCTTTTTTCCCCACAGACTTACATTGGAAACATGTTACTGTCCATTAACCCCTTCAAGCCCCTTAACATTTACACAGAGGAGCTGAGACAGAAATACCAGGGCAAAGAGCAGCAGAGAAACCCACCGTGAGTACACCCTTCTCTCACCTCTCTCTTAATAAAACTGGCAGCATTTATCGTTGCAGCTTGACATTCTGTTATTTTCTGCTTCAGCCATTTGTACGCCATAGCTGACTCTGCCTTCAGCCTTTCTCAGGCCTCCACACAGGAACAGTGCATCATCATAAGGTACTGACACGAACAACACTATCACCTATTTCATTCTGTTTCTTTAATTTTTTTATTTTAGTTTTGCCAAAAATAAGACTATTTTTTATAACATTTACCCAAAAGATGACCTCTTTTGGGTACATTTTTAACCACACAAAAAGACATTATTTAAACTGTAGGACCAGATTGCTGGTATTCTGAGTTTTTTGGCTAAAAGTAAATTACCGCACGCACTGCTCCGCTACCTCAGCTACTCTCTAGAGCAGTGTTTTTCAACCACTGTGCCGCGGCACACTAGCGTGCCATGAGAGATTGCCAGGTGTGCAGTAGGAAAGTATCCAATTTCACCTAATTGATCTAAAAACATTTTTTGAAAACAAATTATCATCTGCAAATAATATGCCATTGTCGAGTGTCTGTGCTGTAGTAGTGACTGGCAGCGTAATCATGTAATGGTCTTCCATTTCACTAGATGGTAGCGAATTGCATTGTACTTTGAGACATGAATGCGACAGGTGGCGGTAACACTGTTGTGGCGAGTGAGATTGCGGTTGACAGTGATGGAGAAGTTTTTGAAGAGGAAAAATGCTAACTATGAACTGGTCCCTGGACAAAATTCGGACCCAGATGAAGGCCCAAGTATGAGTGGAGGTCAAAAGAAGGCAAAGACGGTGAGCTTGAGGCAATCCAGTGAGAGTTATCTTTCATTTGGATTTACTTTAACGGGGGATGCAACGACACCGACTCTGTTGTGTTTGGTGTGTGGTGAAAAGCTGTCCAATAGTGCTATGGTACCAAGCAAGCTTAAACGCAATCTCCAAACGAAACACCCTTTGCTTCAAAACAAGAATGTGGACTATTTTGTTCGCCTGCACACAGAGAAAGAGGCAACATTTATGAGAAAAACCACAAAAGTAAATGAGAAAGTCCTTAAAGCTAACTACCATGTAACTGAACTTGTAGCTAAATCAAAAAGGTCCCACACTTTGGCAGAGACGTGAATATCACCCGCCTGCATAGCCATTGTAAATGAGATGCTCGGACCTGAAGCGGTTAAAGAAATAGCTGAAGTCCCTCTCTCAGATAACACAACTTCCAGACATTCTGATGACATGTCTGCAGACATTGAAAGTGTGGTTTTGGAAAAGATCCGGATCAGTGAGAAATTTGCGCTGCAACTTGACGAGTATGCTGATATTAGTGGACATGCTCAACTCTTGGCCAATGTGCGTTTCGTGGATGGAGACGCAATCAGAGATAACTTCCTATTTTGCAAGGCATTGACAGAAAAAACAACAGGAGAGGAAATTTTTCGGGTCACATCAGAATATCTTGAACAATGAGGACTTAAGAGGGAAAACTGCATGAGTGTCTGTATTGATGGAGCCGCAGCCATGGTCAGGCGCACCAAAGGCTTCGTTAGCAGTGTGAAGGAAACAAACCCAGATGCAATTGTTACGCACTGTTTCTTACACCGTGAGGCCCTTGTGGCCAAGACTTCACCAGCAGACCTAGCCACTGTGTTGGATGATGTTGTGCACATGGTAAACTTTGTAAAGACACGACCTGTGAAGAACCGCATATTTGTCGTCTTTGTGTGAGGAAATGGGAGCGGAGCATAAGGCCTTGCTGCTCCATTCGGAGGTCCAATGGTTGTCGCACGGCAAGGTGCTGGCCCCTGTGTATGAGCTGTGGGAGGAACTCAGAGTGTTTCTGACAAATGAGGGGTCCCATTACGCAAAGCTGCTTGCACGTGATGAGTGGCGGATATTTTTCATCGTCCGAATGAACTGAACACACGAATGCAAAGCTGAAATGAAAACCTGCTCACAAGTACGGATAAAATCTTTTGAAAGCCATTGGATAGATTGTCATGACTGACTGCCTGCACTGTTTTTGCATATGGTGCTAAAAATGTACATTTGTTTAATACCCTTCTTTTTGTGCAGTGGCCAGAGTGGTTCAGGGAAGACCGAAGCTACCAAGCTGATAGTTCACTACCTTAGCTCCATGTATCAGGGCAGAAACGACAACCTCCGACAGGTAATTCACTGTAGAAAACAAAAAAATCAGCTAGCAACAATGCAAAGAATTAACAGGTGCACCTTCCAGCAGGTGTCTTTCAACCATTTTTAACTCTGATTCACTTCATTCTTTCTTTTCCTTAACCAGCCCATGGAGGTTTTTCCCATCTTAGAGAGTTTTGGGAATGCTAAGACCATCCTTAACAACAACTCCAGCCGCTTTGGCAAGTACCTCCACATCCACATTCTCCAGTGAGTCCATCAAACGTTACTGTGTGAGACTTATTTTTGATGTTTCTGTTTTATTTGTCTAATGTCTGTCCTCTCGGTTGGCAGTGGAGTTGTTGTAGGGACCTCGTTGTCCAAATATCTGCTTGAGAAGTCCAGGGTTGTCTTTCAGGTGAGAACATTTATTGAGGTGTGCTGTGGAAGTACGTGATGTTACATTTGCTGAAGAAACAATCATCATCAGGTCGTAACACATCACTAGAGTTGATATTTCAATAGGATCACATCAGCAGTGATGCCCGTTAACATGCTGATGTTCTGACACCTCAGGAGTACTCAGTAGTCATTACAACATGTTTAGTACTCAGTGAGTATTTGCATCAATAGCTATAGAATTGTACCATCAGGACAAACAAACCATGCAAATACCTGGGGCCTCCCAACGATAGGAACTCCTGATGGCTATTTAATACCTTTGCATATCGCAAAGACACTATACGGTGCACTGCCGCAGCACCTAAAACCCCCAAAGTGGAGGCCCTTGTACCTCCCACATGATACTGTAGCTAAAACTCCAGCTGATTCAGAATGTGATGGTGTGTTGAAAAATCCTAATAAGCATTAATGTGAGTTAATACATGTTACTGATATGCTGTTCAAATATAGTGAATCTAGTCTTGTTTTTACCTTGTAGGTCTGTGTGTATGTGTGTAATGATGGTCCTACTGGAGGGAGAAATACCACAATGTCAGTTTTGAGCACTTTGGCAGCTGCTTTGTCAACAAGATAATGTAACAACTGTGCAAGATAAAGTGTGTGTAGGACCATATTTTGCAATGATGACACAAACATCACACACAGTCACAAAGTGAAAACAATACCAGCCATACTGTTGCAGCTGCTAACAAGAACCACTTTTGTAGAAAACAACTCATCACAAGGAGATTTGCATGTACATTGTAAACAGGACCTCTGAACGCTGTTAGTTCTTGTGTGAATGGCTAATTTCATATCACACAACTGATGGTGTTGACATGTGTGTATACAAATCGCTCAAGTTCTGTTTCTGGTTGATTGCATTTGCTGGAATTGCTACTTTGAAACTGAATGAACCTGAGATGCAGCTTTCTGAGCTTAATAGATGATGTCTATAAAAAATTTCAATCTTCAGTTTTTAGCTATATTAGCATTATGGTTCTGGGAATAGCAGTGGCACACAGTCCAGACTAACTAATCTTATCTTGAGTCTGCATACATTCTTTAACTGTGGATATATTAAGAGTCTACCACATAATAACTGTTGACTGCTGAATGACACTAAAATATTTGTTACTGTATGCTGCCATTAATCTAATCATCCTTTGGGATTTTTTTTTCCTCTGATAGATTTAAGCTTTCTGTGAATGGGTCTCCATGCTGTGTCGTGACATGAGCCTCCAAAGTTTGCACTCAAAATTCTCCAAACTTTAATTTCCATAATTCTCAAAGTAGGAAGAGTAAATGATACAGAGAAAAACAAAAAACAAAAAACGGATACTGGCTCGGGACTACTATTAGCACAGGACCTGTGCATTTAGCAAAATATGGTCAGTAATTTGTGGCAGAACTTTAAGTTTACAAATTATGACATAGAAGACTTGCATGGGGTCAAGATTACAGATAGCCTGTTCAGTTATCACCAAGAATCAAGTTCTCTTTGTCTTTCTCCATTTTTTCCCGTGGGGATGAAGAGACAACCATAAATTTCTACTTTAGCAGTGTGCTTCATGATGATTTTTATTTCTGACAAGGTAGGTCATTCTGAACAGACATCATGAACTCAATCAATGACACTGTCTAGTTCTTGTCTCATTACCTATATAGGCCAATGAGGAGAGGAACTACCATGTGTTCTATGAGCTGCTGGCAGGTATGAACGACTGGGCCAAGCAGGAGCTCTACCTGCAGGGAGCTGAGACCTATTACTACCTAAACCAAGTACATCCCACAGAGTACATCTATCTTGAGATTTTTTTTGTGTTTTCCCTGCTTTTCAATAACTCTGTGTATTTCACATTTATTTTTTCCCACTCCTCCTGTAGGGCGGTGCCTGTGAGTTAAGGGGGAAGCAGGACAAACAGGATTTCCAGCTTTTAGTTCAGTGCTTTGAGACTATCGGTCTCCATGCTGATCAGATCTCCACCATCTGGGCCATCCTCTCCTCGATCCTGCAGCTCGGCAACATCTGCTTCAGCTCATACGAGGTGTGTGTGTGCAGGAGATAGAGTGAGTGTTAGACTCATCAGACATTGATATCATATGTCTGGTGATGGTGTTTCAGAGTGAGTCCTTTGAGGTGGCTCGTATCTTCAGTGAAGCTGAGGCCAGGAGGGTTGGAACCTTGTTGCAAATTTCCTCCGAGGCATTGCAGACTGTCATCACTCACAGAGTCACAGTCAGTAGCCTCTCATTCACCAGTCAGCCCTCTCTCTGAGTTATCAGTGATATTTCTGCATGTGTGTGCATTGATTGACTGTCTTGTGTACAGGAGACCACCTATGACAGGATCTACTGCCCCCTGTCTGTGGAAAGTGCCATAGAATCAAGGTAAGACAACTTAGAATTGATGTTGGTTGGTAGTCACAAACTGCAGACACGTCCAACAAACCAACACCATTTTCTGCCACTTCTCTGGGCCTGGTACCTGTGGTGGTGGGCCAAGGATGGTAGCCCATAGTCCTTCTCTTGAGTCATATGCCACATCTTTTGGGGGTGATCCCAAGGCTAAACAAGATGTGTAATCACCCCAGTGGTTTCAGGGTCTGCACAATTATGTGCTACTAGTGGAATGTGCCCAGAATACTTAATTTAATCAAATGCTGGAATCACCTCAGTTGTTCCTGTCCCTGGCCCCTTTCAGATGGACGAGCTCGTCATCTTGTCATTAAGGGTTACACCAGCCAGAGGAATTATTTTAATCACCTGTACAATGTACATGATTCTTTCAGTCCCTATCCAACACTTAAAATATCGGCTTTGCTCCCAGCCTCAGCTTCCTATTTGTCATGAAAGTCTTGAACAGGGGCGGCATGGTAATGCAGTTGGTAGCACTGTTGCCTCACAGCTTGAAGATCCTGATTTTGAATCTGAGGTGGGCCTGGGGTCTTTCTGCATGGAATCTGCATGTTCTCCCCGTGCAGCATGGGTTCTCTCCAGATTCTCCGGCTTCCTCCCACAGTCCAAAAACATGCTGAGGTTAGTTGGTGATTCTAAATTGTCCGTAGGTGTGAATGTGAGTGTGCTTGGTTGTCTGTCTCTAAGTGTAGCCCTGCGATAGACTGGCGACCTGTCCAGGGTGTCCCCTGCCTTCACCCTAAGTCGGCTGGGATAGGCTCCAGCCCTATTTCCACCCTGCGAAGGATAAAGTGGTAAATACATAATGAATGGAAATTTAAATACTCAAATTTATACTCAGCAGCGCCCTCTGTTGGTCAGGTGGTTCAAAACCTACAACTGGATTTCTCTGCTGTGCAAAAATATTTAATTGGTCATAAATGACTGTTAAACTCAGACCAAACGAAATGCATGCTGTTCTCTAGAAAACTGACTGACACTTCCACTTCAGTAAACATCTTCACTGTAAATGGGACATCAATACAAAAAGTATCATCTTATAAATATCTTGGTTTCTGGATCAATGACAAGCTGTCCTTCAAAGCACATATATATATATATGAACTCACTAAATCATTAAAAGCAAAACTGGCATTGTTCTATAGAAATAAATCATGGATGTCTTGAACAGGGTCTGCATTACTGCTGATGCAACATCAGCCTATCTGTCAACTTCACATTCCATCCTCTAGTCACTCTGCAACAAGATGGTGAGGTACTTGAATTTCTCTACTCATAGCAAACAGTTACTCCTTCTCACCATCAGTGGACCCATTATTGCCCTGTCAAAGGTAAAGAGATCCACTGTTCCACGGTCAGGAGAGAATCTCTCCTCAATCAGAAGTTCTTCATTAGATTTTATCTACTTTCTGTGGCAACGTTTTTCCAGGAAAATGTGAAGTGTTAAAAAGATTATTACTCTTATTAATTTTGCACAGTTTGGAAAATACAAAAACAAGCAGAGGGCCTTTATTTTATTAAATTTTTGTGCACCAACAGTTTTGTTATGTAAATATGTGACTTTCCTTACATTTGTGGAACCAACAATGTCATGAATTTCCCCAGGACTCAACATTGACCATAATTCCACTTGATAACTTCTTTTTGTTACAGCATTCCTGCCTCATTTACACCTAATTCGCTTAAACTGCGCTCCCCAAGTGGTTTCACATACTCCCTGTAAGCTGATCTTCCTGTCCTCTTTCGGCTCTCCAGGGATGCCATTGCCAAAGCGTTGTACTCGGTGCTGTTTGACTGGTTGTTGGAACAGATCAATGACTGGCTGAGCCCCACAGAGATGGACAGCACCGTGGGCGTAGTCGACATCTATGGGTTTGAGGTTGGTAGTCAGTCTGGAAAGAGGTCTGGCAACTCAATAAGTAAATATGTGTTTGTGGTGATGGGTGTGACTTCCCAGTGCTCTTGTGTTTCTGTGCAGGATCTGGGAGTGAACAGCTTTGAGCAGCTGTGTATCAACTTTGCCAATGAGCAGCTGCAGCATTTTGTCAACAAGGCAGTGATCTCTCAGGAGCAGGTCAGTGATCCCTGGTGATCATGGATCCATCAGAGAGGCTCTTTTTAATAAGTCCCCCTTTGGAAATTGTTGCTGCAACAGTAATTTAGGGTTCAGAAAAATCCAGGTTTGGAAAAATCCCAGCATGACACTTGTTATATGACTGTAAAGAATCCTCCAATAGATTAGAAAAATTCTTATCTCTCTGTAAAGTTCTAAAATACACCTGTCTAAGGGGGAAATAAGGTAGACTTATCTCCACAATAAAGAAAATGATAGCATTAATTCAAATGATCAAAACCAACCTTCAAATTATTCATCCACTGATATAATCTCCGAGTCAACACAATAATTCTAATAAAGTGTCCACTCTTGGTGATCGGTCAAGAGTGTTTTATAATGTTCGGGAATTGAATTTGAGCTTAGGTAACTATGAAGATCGGATGTGTAAAGTGACTGTAAGTAAGCTATAAAAAAAAAAAACCACAAGAAACGACTGTATACGCACAAAACATTTATTACTAACTGCAACAAACAAATAACAACAACAACAAACATAAAATACAAATAATGATGAAAATGCTGAGTGAGAATCTGAGAGTGAGAAACCAAATGTGGACCAGATGTGTGACCTGGAGACTTGAAAAGCCTTTCACTGAAAGCAGCAGATAAACTGTTATATTTGGAATGTTTGTTTAAAGGCCAATTGTAATTTTGAAGCACCCGATTAGTAGAGAGAAAGTTCCACACTTGCAGTTTCCTTGGATTCTGGAGTGGGTACAGCGACATCTGGTGTTGGGAGAGAGTTGGATCAGCGTGTTGAAATTGAAGTTGGTAACAAGGACCAAAGGGACAAATTCTGTGTCCAGTAGAAAATCTGTCTGTCCTTCGAATGAATGGCTTTTTATAGTAAAATTGCTGACCAGTTACAAAGAACTCCTTTCCCAGAGGGGGTGCTAGATTTGATGCCCCTGTGGTCAGGGGGGTCAGGAGTTTTATTTTAAAGGTAACAATGTTACTTTAGAATTCTATGTACTGTACTTGTAATTATACAGCATTAAGCCTGTTAAAAAGAAATATCTCACATTTAGAGGATCGCAAAAAGTCTAAACATGAGATCTTGCACGGTTACAAAGATAATACAGTACTAGGATATATGATTATGAAACAAGCTAATAAAATAATGGTGGAAGGGATAGAGGGTTGATGGAGGGAGGATGTGGGTGGGTAGGGAGGGAGGGTTGATGGAGGGAGGATTTGGATGTGAGGGTGGAACGTATGGGGATGGGTGGGCGGGGAGGGAGGTAGGACATGGGTGGATGAGGAGGGAGGGTGTTTAGTGGATCCCTGGTGTCTGGGGTGAGTGTCTGGGCATTGGGGTGGGTGCTGGCCCATGTCGAGTGGCTGCCTGGGGTGGCCTGGTCCTCCCGGGCTCTTGGTAGGCCTTCTGCCTGGAATGGGCGGGTGGGGGTGGCTCTCTGGCTCGTGTGGCCCTGGGCCCTGTGCTTGGCCTGCCCGAGGTGGCCGGTGCCCGGCGGGGTCGGCAGCTGCTGGTCTTGGCCCACTGGGGCCTCTGCCCTGCGGCCATGGCGGGCTCTAGCTGGTTCCTTTCTCTGCCGCTGTCTGGGGGGGATGCGTGTTTGCCTCAGTGGTGTGGTGGCTGAGATTTGTACTCTGGAATTGCTACTGAGGCTCGGGTCTTGGGACTCTCCTGGTCTGCATCTGTCCTTCGCAGGGGCTCGACTGCACTTGCATGGTTACACTCATGTCTGAACACTCCTCACCCCACATATTCTGTAAAATGACACTGCATTGTCCGCACTAATACCTACCTTTGTTTGCTTTGTTTATTTCATTTGTTTATTTCTTCAGACATATGTAGTTTGTTTTTGTTTTTTCTTTTGTGTTTCTTTTCCCTCTTTCATCAATGTGCGCTTATATAAATCTTAAATCTCTTGTGAAATGTTAACTGCTGCAAAATAGAGATTTTGTAGGTGCAATTTGCCACCCAAATCCCTAATTTCTGTGAATTTCTTTAAAGATTGTGAAAGACTTTAATAAAATGAGGATGTGCATCCATTACGAAAGTTCAGTAAATGCTCATGTGTTATCACTGAGGTCTGAAGTTAGTCACTCTAACCTAATGTTCTTATCACTTGCCAGGAAACCTTTGAATTTGTGTTCTTTGAATCACAGACGACATTCAGAAAATGTATTCACACGCACAAGGTTGATGCAGTCTGCAGTGTTATGGTATGTGTCCTGCAGGAGGAGTACAGCGTAGAACACATTCAGTGGTATCCACTGGCACTCAAGAACTTCCACTGCTGTCTGGAGCTGATCTCCTCTAGGCCACATGGCATCCTCCGCATACTGGATGATCAGACCTGCCTCCCACAGGTACGCACACACCTACAGGCACACAGCCTATGTGGATAATTCTGTAACTCTGTCTTTGTGAGGAGCCTTGTTGATACAATGCATTCAACAAAGTCTGCCAGCCACCTGACGACAAGTCTTAGTCAAACTCAAAACCAAAGCTCCAAAAACACTCACCAACTAACTGCTATCTGCTACAGTCATAGAATAAATTATTAGACCACCCTTGTTTTCTTCAATTTCTCTGTCATTTTAATGCCTGGTCCAAGTAAAGGTACATTTGTTTGGACAAATATAGTGATAACAACAAAAATAGTTCATAAGAGTTTAATTTAAGAGCTGATATGTAGCCATTTTCCATGGTTTTCTTGATAGTTACATCAGTAGCTATGCCATTGTGCTGCCAAAAACAGTGCATTAAGGCTTTCCATGTTTTCTTTTCTGTCTGTTTTACTCACATGATACACACAGGAGTTAGTACTTGATTGCATAACCATTGTTTTTGATGACTGCAGCCATGCATCTTGGCATGCTCTCCACCAGCTTCTGACATTGTTCTGCTGTCACAGCAGCCCATTTCTGTTGAACAAATTCAAACAAATGTGATTTGTTTTTGGGCCTGTGGTCCACCATTTTGCCTTTGATGATTTTCCACAGGTTTTCAATTCAATTTAGATCTGGTGATGAGCAGGCCAAAGCATGGTTCCAATGCTCTGGTTCCCTATTCAGACTTTAACTGAACTTGCTGTGTGGCAAGGGACATTGTCTTTTTGGAAAATCCAGTCATTGGAGGCAGGCGCAGACAAAAGACTCGACCACAAAAACATAGAATCAATGAAACACAATTTATTTTACAAACAATGATTCAAAAAGACGAATTAAGGTTCCCAAACGGACCGGTGAAATAAGCTACCGCTAACAGATACTTACTAGAAATATTACAAGACGTCCTCTACAGGACGACAAACTACTCTTACAATTAAATCAAAACTTACCGCAACAAATGCAAACCTATTAAGTCGGGGTGGGCGAACCCGGTCCTCGAGGGCCACAATCCTGCATGTTTTAGATGTTTCCCTCTTCCAACACACCTGATTCAAGTGATCAGGATCGTTATCAGGCTTCTGCAGAGCTTGATGATGAGCTGATCATTTGAATCAGGTATGTTGGAAGAGGGAAGCATCTAAAACATGCAGGATTGTGGCCCTCAAGGACCAGGATTGCCCACCCCTGTATTAAGTAATTCTACTAATTGAGTGGGCAAGAGATGAGGCTTACTACAACACGAGAAACTAGTGAGGGGCAGCCGGAGGAGACGGAGGTGGACCAGCTGACTTCAGCAGAGGGACACAGAGAATATGGAGGGCTGGAGCCAAAGGAATCCAACAGTGGGGAATCAGGAATGAAGAGTGGATCACGGGTTGGCAGTGAACATGGCAAAATTGAAGCACAGGAGAATAGAGTAAGAACAGGAATCAAGGTACCAAGCAGAGCATACAAACGAGAGCAAAACTAACATGGGTTTTACAACGATCTGGCATGTCATGATCAATACTTACCGGAACGGAATCAAGCTTCGCTTCAAGCTAAAGGACTATGTCCCGCAGTGGCAGCATCTGGAGAGAGGGATTGTCACAGGATGCACAGTGCCCCCATCTTGTTCATCATGGGCATGAACCTTCTGATCCAAGCAGGGGAAAAGGAAACCAGAGGCCCCATGATGGACTCAGGAGTCCGGCAACCAACTATCAGAGGTTACATGGATGACCTTACAATCACAACGTCATCCCATGTTCAGGATCAGTGGGTCTTATTAAAGCTTGAAGAAGTGGCCACATGGGCGAGAATGACATTCAAGCCTAAGAAATCAAGAAGCTTGATTATCAAAAAGGGCAACATCTCCTTTAAGTTCAACCTGTCCATTCAAGGTGAGATCATCCCCTCCATCAAAGACAATCCCATCAAATATCTGGGCAAGTGGTATGATGAGACATTAAAAAACCACAACAACGTCCGCACCACTGAGAAGCAAGCAGAGACCTGGCTGGTGAAAATTGATAAGGCAGGCCTTCCAGGGAAGTTCAAGGCGTGGTTGTATCAACATGGCTTGCTGCCCAGATTGATGTGGTTACTGACTGTTTATGAAATCCCGCTTTCAGCGGTGGAAGGTGTGGAGTGCAAGATCAACTCGCATCTCAGGAAGTGGCTAGGTATTCCGCCAAGCTTCACATCAGTCGGGCTGTACATTAGATCTGGGCAACTTCAACTGCCCCTCTCCTCTCTCTCTTGAGGAGGAGTTTCAGGTAGCCAAATGCAGGGTGACCATGATATTCAGAGACTCTGGAGACAGCAAGGTCAGAGAGGCTGGAGTGACAACCAGGTCCGGGCGAAAGTGGGAGGCCTCCGCATCTCTGAGTCGGGCTGAAGAGAGCCTGAAGCTCAAGGACATCATTGGAGCACCCTGTGTAGGGTGGCAAGGCCTGAGACTTACCCATTTTCAAACTTGGGGAAAGGCCAACGCTGCAGAAAGAAGAGCTCTGCTCCAGGCGTAAATAAGGGATCAAGAGGAAGAGCGGAGAAAAGCTAAGGCTGTTGAGCTAGGCTCCCAAGGGGCCTGGACGAGATGGGATCTTCCCAAGAGGAAGGTGACATGGAACGACCTCTGGAGGTTAGAGCCCTACTGAATATCTTTTTTGCTCAGGGCGGTCTATGACGCTCTTCCATCCCCAACGAACCTCCACAGATAGGGCTTGAGGGAGGACCCGCTGTGCAAGGTCTGCAGGCAGAGAGGAACTACGGCCCATATCTTGACAGGATGTAAGGTTGCGCTAACCCAGGGCAGATACAGATGGCGCCATGACAAAGTATTGACTGTGTTGGCAGCAGGAAAGAACCAGGAAAAGTCAACACAGGATCAAGCCATCACCTGGTATAGTTTTTGTCAAGGAGGGTGCAAAGCTGCCAGGGCCCAGCAAAGCAAAGACAAGTCTGCTGCAGACTGCCCAAGCCTGGGAACTCAGGGTTGACCTGAAGAGGAGGCGTCAGTTCCCAGAATTTGTCCACACAGCCCTTCGACCAGATGCCGTGTTATTCTCCACTAGAGGAGAGAAGATCATCCTGGGTGAGCTTACCGTGCCATGGGAGGAGGGATGTGAAGAGGCATTTGAAAGAAAAGCAGAGCGCAACACTGACTTGGTCCAGGATTGCAGGGACAAAGGGTGGCAGACATGACGAGGTAGGGTGCAGAGGATTCCCTGCCCAGTCGGTCTGGAAGTTGCTGACTGCCATGGGTGTGAAAGGTGCAGACAGAAAGAAGGCTGTGCGAAGACTGGGGGAGGCAGCTGAGAGAGCCTCCTTCTGGCTATGGAATAGGAGAGAGGAGATGAGCTGGCAGCCAGGGGAGAGTGAGTAGTGGCCGGCCACCACTGCTGACTCGCCAACAGGAGAGTGTTATGGTTCCTCCAGCCTCCCCGGCATCAGCCGATCCTCCGGTCTGCTGCAACAGTCAGCTGCTGATGCCCGTCCGGGGCGCACATGCTTAGCGCATGTTGGGGGGATTAATGTTAGGACAATTAAATGACTTACTCACCAAGAAACCACCTATCCTGCACTGTGCCAGCTTGTAGCCTGTTCCCAACCATGCTGTTGGTCAGAATGAATGAATCCTGGGTTTTCCAGGCCACCTCGCAGCAATGGCACTTAAATGTATTTGCGCATCACAGATGATCTGTACATTGATTGAATAGAAATGCTTCTTGTTTACATGAACAAATTCATCTTGTGATTGTGTCTTTATAGCAATGTGTGTGCAGTCGATAGCTCCAATTACATCAAGAAAACCGGCCTTCGCTGCAAATTGCACTTTCATGTCATCCTGTTCAACTGCAGTGCATGGGAATTTGATATATCTGGCTGACTTTCGGATGGTTCCATACCACGCAGCTGGCATGGCTCGGGTGTCGACTGGCACAGTCTCGATCGGTCGTCCAGCTCCCTCTGAAATGACCCTGTGGCTAGGAAGCCCAGTGTGGTCAGCACCCGTGTGGGCACAGGCCGCGCATGGCTCTTGGCCATGTTGCGCGCCAATAATGGCCGCAGCTCCGCGCACCGTTCTAAGAGGATTGCCCTCGGGAACCTAAAGCGGCTGATGAGCCAGTCGTCCTCCTGAGCCAAAAAAGCCTCTCGGTCTCCGAAAACCTGTTCTCTTCACACTGCTTCATTGGCAATATCCTCCAACAGTGCCAAAGCTGCCATTGTTGTTAACAGTATCTTCTGCACCATTTTACGCAGGTTTTTATATCCACTCATCCTGATTGCAAACACCTGGGCGTGTTAATTGTTCATCTGTGAATCTCTGATGTGCATATCGCTTTAAGGAATTACCTTTTTTTTCATTATGTTTTACATTCCCAGCATCCACCTGTAAGTGTTACCAACGGCTCAAAAGCAATAGAAACGTGCGTACGCCAATCAAGAAGTTGGTGTGGAGGACCGCACATTTCCACATTCATTTCACTCTTGATATATCTGAACGTGAGCGTGGATAAGTGCGTTCGCACCCTTTGTACATGAGGCACCTGGTCACGTGTCCCTTATTGCACAAGAAAAGGTGACACAAAACCACAAGTTCTTGACTAGGTGGAGCCAAAGGCGGAGGTCATGTCACCCTGGGAATACAATTAAGCTTAAGAATGTCAAATAGGACATAAAGTATTATGGAATCAGCTACATTTTTAGTCGTCTTCATTATATTCTTCAGGTAATATAACTTTAGTGGTACCAGGCATCAAAATAAACAAGAAATTGAAGAAAACAAGGATGGTCTCATCAATACACACGCATGCACACACACATACTGATGATTAAACTGTGTTAATGTGTTTGGTTATTAGTCAGATAAGTTTTCACATAAATTCACAGATTCCTGACACAATGTTTCAACTTTTCTCCATATCTAGCCTTGTGTTTAAATCTGTTGCACTGTCCTCTCTCTCTCTCTCTCTCTCTCTCTNGGTGTGGAGGACCGCACATTTCCACATTCATTTCACTCTTGATATATCTGAACGTGAGCGTGGATAAGTGCGTTCGCACCCTTTGTACATGAGGCCCCTGGTCACGTGTCCCTTATTGCACAAGAAAAGGTGACACAAAACCACAAGTTCTCGACTAGGTGGAGCCAAAGGCGGAGGTCATGTCACCCTGGGAATACAATTATGCTTAAGAATGTCAAATAGGACATAAAGTATTATGGAATCAGCTACATTTTTAGTCGTGTTCATTATATTCTTCAGGTAATATAACTTTAGTGGTACCAGGCATTAAAATAAACAAGAAATTGAAGAAAACATGGGTGGTCTCATCAATACACACACGCACACACACACATACTGATAATTAAACTGTGTTAATGTGTTTGGTTATTAGTCAGATAAGTTTTCACATAATTTCACAGATTCCTGACACAATGTTTCAATGTGTGTGTGTGTGTGTGACAACAATAGGCCACTGACCACACCTTCCTCCAGAAGTGCCACTACCACCATGGAAACAGCCCTTACTATGCCAAGCCCAAGAATCCACTGCCAGTCTTCACTATTTATCACTATGCTGGAGCTGTCACCTATCAGGTATTAGGCACAATACACAGGTATATGCAACAAATTTGCATTTGTATTTCATTTTAAAAGGAATACCATCACTTTACAGGTCCATAATTTCTTGAACAAGAACCACGACCAGTTCAGGACAGAAGTGGTGGAGCTCTTTGCCAGGAGTCGAATTAAGGTTAACCAACTGATCCAAATATGTGTGTGTGTGTGTGTGTGTGTGTGTGTGTGTGTGTGTGTGTGTGTGTCTTAAAATATATGTGAAGTGTATATGTATTAAAATATATGTCTGTCTTATATGCACAGCAGTTACTCAGAGGAAACAAAAAAATCTGCATCTACAGTATGAGGAGATTTTAACTACATGGCACAATCAGATCATGACGGTTTATATATCATTCAATTTCACTTTATGTGGAGCATCTTTCACAAAAGTTAGAGCTCTTCAAAGTCACTAACAAATGTCACTAATAAAACTGTGGAAATAGTAGGTGACAAAAATTAAGCACCACTCTTCATAGGCCCAGCAGCACTGCTGTTTGTGTGTTTTTTCAGCTCATCTCTTGTTATTAAAGCTCTGAAATGCTAATATGACCTGCAGGCTGTCACATAAACATGATTGAGTATGATAGTTGGAATATTTCATCCTCAACCATACAGATGGATTCACCTATCAGACAGTGAATTGCTGGATTCATGCATACACTATGCTACTATGCATCCATAAACCCTTGCAACGGCTTTTTTCAACTGACCTTGAAAACCTTTCTTTTTGAAATCCTGTTTGTCATTTTGCCAGCTGCAGGCTGCAGAACAAAGATAGGAGGCAAGGAGAGGATTTGACATGACATATAATATCTAATAATATTTTTGAAATATATGAAAATAAAACATTTTCTAATATATAGGAGATACTCATTACGTTGTAACATTTTTATCATAATGGTAAGACCTCTGGATGAATGGATTCCATAATAGATATCTTTTCTCCTAAATTTTGCGATTTCTTTTTTTATCAGATTAAATATGTAGACACAGACATCATAATAAAACATGTTTTGGCGTTTTTTCTACAATTAAAAACTACTTAGAGATTTAAAGATGAGAAGTATTTTTTAAGTATTCTATCATTCGCAGTTATGGTGAGATTACACAACTGAGACTTTGCTGTTTTTTACACTATTGAAGAAAACTGAAAGCATTAAAGTATGAAGCAACACACATTCCATCTCAAATCACCAAGTGGCCTTCTGCTCATCCATCTCTGATTTACTTGAAACTTTATTTTCATAAACTGTGGATATTTAAAATG